GAACACGCCTACAACAAGTTCTGCGGCAAGAAAGTGAAGGAGAAGCTCAGCAATTTCCTGCCGGACCTGCCGGGCATGATCGACCTGCCCGGCTCCCACGACAACAGCAGCCTGCGCTCGCTGATCGAGAAGCCCCCCATCTGCGGCAGCTCCTTCACCCCCCTCACCGGCACCATGCTGTCGCGGGTTCCCGCCTCCATGCCGGCCCGGTGAGCCCGGGGCCGGGAGCTGGGGGGGGCCCCAGGGGGCAGGAGGGGCCCAGCCCGGCCTGACCTGCCCTGTCTCCTCTCCCCAGCTGCCCGAGCAGTGCCGGCTCATGCACATCCAGCCACCCAAGAAGAAGAACAAGCACAAGCACAAGCAGAGCCGCACCCAGGATCCCGTCCCCCCGGGTAAGGCTGTGCCTCCCTGCCACCCCCTCTCCCATCCAGCCCTGGGGGGTGCCCAGCTCATCCAACACTCTTGTTTCTCCAGAAACCCCCTCGGATTCCGACCACAAGAAGAAAAAGAAGAAAAAAGAGGAGGATCCAGAACGGAAGAGGAAGAAGAAAGAGAAGAAGAAAAAGAAGGTGGGTGGGGAGAGCAGGGTCCAGTTCCCAGCCTGTGCCCGCCCACCCGAGGCAGCAGCAGGGAGCCAGTGAGCTCCTAGGGGTGTTGCTGCCTGCAGCTCCCACGGGACATGTCTGTCCTTCCTCCACAGAACCGGCACAGCCCCGAGCACCCGGGGGTGGGTGGCTCCCAGGCCAGCAGCAGCAGCAGCCTGCGGTGAGGCCTCCCTGGGGACCCGCAACCCACGGAAACAGCTGAGACTGACCCAGGAGGGACTTGTCCCTTCTGCAGCACTTGGCAGGGGGGCTTGGGCAAGCCTGCCATCCCCCCCAGCAGAGAGGACGCCCCTGAAGCCCCCAGCGTGCATCATGCAGCCAGCCAGGACCAGGGGACACGGACTCTGCTGGCACTGGGCCTGCCAACCTCCACCTTTTATACCAAAACAACCTATTCCATTGGGATCTCTCTTTTTTAGTCACCTTTTAATTAAAAGTATCTGCTCTGAGGGGCTGGTGGCTCCTGCAGTCCACAGTGAGGCAAGGAGCGGGGGAGTCCCAGGGGTGCTGGGACACCCAAGTGGTGGTTGAGCTGCTGCCCCAGCTCTCAGCTCATCTCCCCCCCTCTCCTGCCCGGGCAGGGGTGGGGTGGGAGGGGCAGAGCTTTGGGGGCTGGGCTGAGGGGCTCTGCTGCCCCTGGCCTCTGGGGCGTGGCCAGGATGGGGTGACAGGAAGAGGCACCATGTCCCCGTGCAGCAGTGGCTGCTGGCTGAGTGCCCAGGGGTGCCGGTGTGGGCACTGGGAGCCCCAACAGCCACGGCTGGTGCCCAGGGCCGTTGGTTCCAGCGTCGTGCGCAGCAGCCGGAGCTTCCCCCGCCCCTGTGGACCCCCCCCCAGATCCCCTTTCCTCGCTTCCTGGGAAATCCCCTTACCTCCTGCAGGGGCAGCATCCAAGGAGGCACCTTCCTGCACTGGTCTGGGACCGGCTCTGCTGGGGACCCTCTGACCCCCAGGGGTGGGAGGGACAGTCAGGATCCTTGAAGGGGGGCTCCTCTGTCCCTGGATGCTAAACAAAGCACACACATCTGCTGGGGTGGCTCATTAAATATCCTTTTATTCCTCATTTTTTAAATGGCTAATAGTAATAAAAAAAACAATGGTGTGGCTCTGCGGCAGCCACGGGAGAGATATTGCCGTGAGAAAGAGTCAAGTAGTGCCTGAAGTGTCACAGGCCCCACGCAGGGGGAGTTGCCTGGGCAAGGGTTGGGAGGGGAGGAGCTCTGGGCTCCTTTTGGCTGCGTTGGGTTTTTGGCATGTGACGAGAAAATATTGCTGTGCAGGGATGCACCCTGCTGGCCTTCCTCTTCCCAAACGGAAATAAAACCAACTGTGACAGTGAGAAAATCCCATCAGCCCCACTGGAAAAAACAAAACAAAATAAAAAGCAGCCACCACCTCCCCACCCTCCAACATAAACTCTGAAGAAACATCATTAAAAGAGCAACAATCACCAGTGGGGAAAGGCTGGAGCCCGTGGGTATTTCCGACCCAGCTCCCCCTCCAGCAGCACCTGCAGGTGCTGCTCAGGGGGGCTGTGGCCCACCCAGGATGGGGGGCTGGAGGCTGCACAACTGAAGAGCAGGGAATGGGGGGTGAGGTCCTCATTTGAGAGCACCATGTCCTTGGATAGGGCTGGGGAGACCAGGGCAGCCCAGGGGTGGCAGCTGCTGTCCCAGAGCCCTGCCTGGGGCAGGCGGGGGTGGCACTGCTGGGCACTGGCCCTGGCTCATCCCATGTCCCCCCTCTGGGGACAAGGACAAAGTGGGGGCTCAGACCTTGGCCAGGGAACAGGTTAATTTCTTCCTCTCTCTGGGTAAGATATATAATTTCTGCTTTTTTTTTTTAATATTTATATTTATATATATAGATATTTATATATACACACACCTGGTAACTCAGAAAGAGAAAAAAAATAGAATCCGTAACAATAATAATAAAAAAAAGTATTCTGGTTTAAAAACAATCCATTCCTACCACGCTAGGCGAGCGGTTGATTGCACAAGGCCCACGAGTGGCTGCGGCCCCTGAGCCCCCCG